AAAAATTTTAAAGAATTCACTAATATATAAATATCAAAAATGTAACTTTAAACTTTCTGCCACACAAGCATGCAATTTTATCACTTAGATTGTCGAGCAGCAAAATGTTTGTGTAATAATGATGTTAGGTGGAATGAACGGCATTTAAAGTCGTATAGGAATAATAAATTTTTTAGAATAAGACCCAAGAGAAATATATACAGATTATACGTGATCTACTAAACAGCAATGAAACATTGATATAATAATATATACTTATATATAATATCGATATAATATACTGTTTGACAAACAATTTTCATGGTTGTTTATGTGGCTAATACATTTTAGTCTATAATATTTCGTAAATAAGTATGCGCAAAGTCACAAACTTTAAGCCTACAGGTGTACTATACGCATGTACGTTACAACTTATGGATAACAGAAAAAGACTTATGATAGTTATTACATTTATTGAATGTTTGTTTTTTTAAATGAATAAAAAATGCATTATTTTGATAGTTGCTATGTACTAAGGTATTCATCACAATATACATGAATGTTTAAGCGTTATCTCGTTCAAAAAAAAAAAACCCCCCATTAATATCTGCCACTACGATCTCGCCCGGGTGCAGCTTTTTCAGGTCTTTCAGGTTGGTGTAAGACTTCAACACTTCCATCCTCCATTACCACAGACCTATTTTTAGCTCTGTCGACAAGAAAATTCTCTAAAAGAATGGCATTTCGTATATTGGCTTGATATAAGAAATCGAAGAAGTCACCAACCACGGGTACCAGCCCCAACTTTATACAAGAACAAATTCAAAAGATTATTCAATAAATTCAGGGAAAGTGAAAAAAATTATATTATTAAAACTTACCATAAAATCGATGAATACGTTAAAAACCATTTGACTAATGACATATTTCGGTAAATCAACTTCTTTTGCAGTTTTTATTAACATTAAAGATAAAAATGTGCTCATGAAATCACCTGGAAAAAAAGTTTTAGATTAAATTAGATACGTGACGTCATTAATACTTTAGTTCATCATTTTTACTCACCGACTACTGGTATTAACCCTTCATACGAAAAAAAAGAAAAAAAATAGCAGAATTAATTTCGAAAGAAATTTAAAAGAAATATAAAAATTAAATAATAAATATATTAAAAATGTACCAATGATTGGATCCAATCCAACTTTAAAACAACAACAAACACAAAGTCCAATATCCAAAAATTCGGCTCTTTTTTTCACTTTTTTAAGAATTCTTGCTTCTTTTTCTGTTAAGCCTGGTGGTATTTTCCATCTATTTTTTTTTTTACCTCTAGTTGTTTTATGTGCGTTATCATCAATATTACGTTCCTTCGAATTTGATGAATCTTTACCACCTATTAATTTCTTTACCAGAGCCTTTGAAATATTGGCTTTAAGACTCATGTTTTTTTTTTTTTTTTTAAAGATAACGAAGATTAACGCATGAACAAGAAGAAAATTCGCGTTTTCGGTGAAAACCACTTTATATATTTATTTATGTTTATTTATGCTCACACTCGGTTACACGACTTTTAATTTCGGCAATTCTTCCTGAAATTACTATTGTATTTATCGTTTATAGCATTGTACATGTAATCATAATGCTGTATTGTTATTCACTATTAAATCCAACGTGACAAAATATTTAACTATGCGCCAAAGTTATGTAACTCTAATGTAATGTGGATCTTCATTTAATCATAATTATTGTGGCAATTAAAATGAAATCGGATTAAAATGAAATTTTTCTATTTTTTTAGAAAAACTTCAAAATTTTTGGGTGACATTTTTTAGGGTTAGGGTTAGTGTTAGAGTTAGGATTTAGAGTTAGTTTTATTAATAAAAGAGTATAAGGGGTTTTATAAGCTTTAAAGATAAGCAAGAAAGGTCCCCAGTTTCATTTTAATCTGATTTCATTATGATCTGCCACAATTATTAAGTTATCGCATGTTTACCTTGTCCTGATGCAGAATTCAATGCTTTGTATATGTTAATTATAGATAATTTATTTTTTGTACATTACATAAATTGCATTTATTTAATAAAGGATATTTACGCCTCAATTTATGCGTGGTGTAAAAATATAATAATGATTCTTTCATTCACAAAAAAAAAAAAAAAAAATTTATTATAATGATAATAATGCTAAAAATCTGTAACTCTCGATCCATAACTCCAATCTCCGTGTTTCAAAGGATCCTGCTTAGGTCCTCCGATCTCACCTGTAACAGGATTCTTTTCACCTTCAAATTCTGCTGGTAATTTCTCTCTTGCATCTGGATGTACTTGTAATTCCTCTTCTTCAACTGCCATTATAGCGCTGGTAAATGATCCTTGATTTTTACGTACTAATTCTTCAAATTCTTTTTGTTCTTTAGGATCTCCTAAAGGGATTGGTCCTGGTCTCTTGAGTGATGGGTCTGTTGTATATGACCGAAAAAATGGACGTATTGCGGTCCTCCGAGACGAAGAAAGAAAAGGAGTTATTAACTTCATTTTATATATATGTACATAATTGATTTGTCATCAATTTATAAGTGTGAGAAACCTAAATATGCCAATATCTTTATAAGGATTCAATAAAAAACTAATGATAATGAGAATAAAAAAAGTTAGTGTTTGTAGTCGACCTAAGCCAAAATTTAAAAATTGGCTTTGCAAGTTCGATTGCCTTATACAATAAAATATATATATATATATATATATATATAATATCGATATACAGTATCCCTGCACCCCACTCATAAATTGGTTAGTTCTTCTAAATCATCCTATATACATAGCCAAAAATCAACCAAGTCAAATTTTAAAAAATCGACTGACTTAGTCGACTAATCGATTTATCGGTTAATACCAAATCGACTACAATCACTAAAAAAAATTGTACAGTACCGGATAGCAAAAGTATTCAATATTTACAAAAAAAGCGATATAATTCAGCAATAAATAATTTTAACAAAAAAAAATTTTTAACCGATTTTGTTGCTTTTTATTAAGATTTTTTGTTTTTAGCTTTAAGGTTTATATAGAAATTTGGCGTTTAATATACTATCACATGAGGATCGACAGTATATTATCCAATTCACTTTAACGTAGGAACCACCTTTTTTATATCTCGCTACGTATCAACTTGGGCAAATTTATCCATTGAATAACTCCATTGACATTGTTTCATTGCTCCATTGAGAATAGTTTCTGAATAGAGCCAATGGAAGCCAACCAACTCCATTAACATTGATCTGTTCGACCTGTTTATCAACGGGTCGAGCTATCGGTATCAGTTTCATTGATTCCATTGGGGTTCTCCGTCAGTTTCATTGACTTCATTCACCTTATTGCAGTGTTGTCACTTGGCCACTTGGCCGGCCATTGGCCGGCCAAGTGGCCGCAGCCAATGGCCAAAAAGGGCAAGAAAATTATTTGGCCAAAACGGCCAAATATTCTGTACGTATTAGCAAGGCTAGGAATATGATTGGTTAATTTTGTAAAAATTAGAAACTTTGGTCAAAGCTTGGCCATTGGCCAGTTGGCTGTTGGCCAATTGGCTGGCCAAAGGCCAAAAAAATTGTTTGGCCGCTAAAAATTGCCAATACTGCCCTATTGGCCCCATTGAGCTCCATTCAGCACTACCCTTAACTGTTAACTCTCACGTGACTTGAAAAATTTTGATTCGGAACCTACCGGATCTGCATTATCATATGAACCGAGCTATCCCGGTTCAAATAACGCGTAAAATGCAATACAATAACGATACCGATAATACTGCATTGTAATGGAAGGTAACGATGCAATACTCGCAAAGAAACTACAAGAAGAAGAATATAATTTTATCAACGAGGATGTCAATTCTTTAGCTCTGGCACGTCAGCTGCAAGCCGAAGAAGGTTTGTTTTTTAGTTTTATGTAATACTTATATTTCAACTTTTGATATACATATCCCTTTTTTTTTCTTTAGACTTGGATAATAACGAAAATCCTGAAGATCCAAATCCTGATATTCATGGCCTCTTTATCGCTTTCGATCAACAATACTTTTGGGGAAGCTTGAAAAGTGTTGAGGTTAGATGGTCAAACAAAATGACTTTGGTATGGGTATATCTATTTTATATTATTTAAATTTTATGAAATATATGCCTCTAACTATCAATATTCGAAAACTCTTAAATCAGTGTGCTGGGTTATGTTATTATCAATCAGGTGGTTATTGTAGTATAAGGTTAAGCGAGCCATTATTGAAATTTCGAACTCGTCAGGATATGATTGAAACATTATTACACGAAATGATTCATGCTTATCTATTTGTAACGAAAAATTATAAAGATCATAGTATGTATTTTATACAGTCTCATCTTGTTATAATCACGCCCACAATTGTCTATATATACATTAGTTTTCTACTTTTTCATATGAATTTTATAAATTTTATCGTTGCGATTATCAAATCTCATAATAAGCATTAACTAGACTATGTGAGGCGACCGTTTCATATTCTTGATCTATCTAATATTTTGCTTTATATTTCTCGACCAAAATTTATCATTCTTATTAAGATGCACACGGTCCTGAATTCCTTAAACACATGGAACGTATAAACGCTGCTGCTGGAACAAAAATAACCGTGTATCATAATTTTCGTGATGAAGTTAATTATTACCGGACACATGTCTGGAAGTGTGATGTACATATTTTTATATACATATATATATTTATTTATTTATTTATACGTATACCATTAAGTTCTTGCCTTAAAATTTCTTATTAGGGTCCATGCCAGTTTAAACCGCCTTATTTTGGAATTGTGCAACGAGCTATGAATAGGTATAATTTTGATTTCTTTAAAAACAATTAAGTTACAAATATACATATACCATTTTTATTTTGTATTCTATTCGCGTCATAGGCCTCCACAGCCTGCTGATAGTTGGTGGGAAAAACACAAACAATCATGTGGTGGTAATTATCATAAGATTGCTGAACCTCAAAAAGAGGAAAAGAATCAAGTAACGAAAGTTCGAAGACGTAAACTTGATAATGCTAGTGGTAGTAATACATCATTAGATAAATGGTTCCGTAAAGATGTTGATAAAGAGAAATCTCAAGGTCCAAAGTTCAAGAGACGATGTACCGATGTCGATAATGTACATGAAAATAATAATCAATTAACTGATTTTAAAGATGACTCTAATGAAAAAGGTGACTCTATAAATAAATCCTCTTCAACCTCTCATATATCGAATACTGTTCAGTGCCCAATTTGTGGAAATAGTACGATCGATAATTCAGCAATTAATGATCATATTGATTTATGTATTTGGGCATCTGAAAATGGTGAACAATTGCCAATTACGTAAATTCAATACTGTACGTATTAATATCATGATATACGGTATACACATATATATATTTCATTTTACATACTTGTAAAATATTTTCTTAGGAGTCAAAAAAAATTAATATAATCTGCTGAAACTTTTTTAAAAAAAGAAACTATAGCAATCAATGTATTATTCAACCAATGATATAATTTTACCGTCTTCTGTTGCTAATGTGAATTCCACAACATTCCATTTCCCACCATCCTTTAATGATCGAATAGAATGATATCTCACAGTACCCTTCCCTATTT